GGAAGCAATACTTATAGTGGTGAAATCGACCCAACTGGTACTCCTTCAACGTCGTATACCCGAGATAGCTGACTAGATGTTTCAATTCCAAACACTTATAACCAGGCAATGAAATCTGCAGAAAAGCTTAAATGGATAGAGGCAATGGAAGAGGAAATGGCCAACATGCGAAAGCATAAGGTATGGCATCTTGTTCCACTTCCTAAAGACAAGACTCCACTAGGTTGCAGGTGGATTTTCAACATTAAACGTGACGAATTTGGAAACATTGTTCGTTTTAAAGCTCGTTTAGTGGCTCAGGGTTATCGGCAAATTAAATACGATACCTATGATGAAACCTACTCTCCTGTAGTCAACTTTTCAGTAATAAGGCTCTTTTTCTCTCTCCCTTTAGTTGCACACCTTGGATGGGCAAATATACAATGTGACGTGAAAAAGTGCCTATCTCTACGCTCCTTTATCAGAGGAAATTTACATGTCCCAACCTCAGGGTTTTGTAGAGCGAGATAAAGAAACTTTTGTGTGTCGTTTAGATAGAGCCTTGTATGGTTTGCATCAGAGTGGCCGATTATGGTACTACGAGTTGGATAGAACACTATGTAACCTAGGGTTTATCAAGTTTGAGTGGTGTAATTGTGTCTATCGTTTTAAAGATTTTGTCATTCTGTTGGTTTATGTTGATGATATTAGTTGTGTTTGGAAAAAGTGAAGTTCAGGCCAAAAGGATATTAAAAGTCCTGAGTTCACATTTTGATTTGAAAATTTTAGGTAAAACAAGAAAGCTTCTGGGTGTGGAATTTGAATATGAGAAAAAATAGTGTTCTAATTCATCAGCAATTATATATAGAAGACATAGTTGATCGATTTCAAGTCTTTTAAAATACAAATTACTTCCCTTCCAATAGTTAAAGGTGTGAAATACTCAAAGTCTCAAAGTCCCAGTACACAAGAAGAAACGACTGAAATGATGAATTATCCTTATAGAAATGTTTTGGGATGTCTCTCGTTTCTTTGCAATCGTACTCGTCCGGATATAGCTTATGCTGTTAATATATTTTCTCAGTTCCAAAGCAATCCTGGTAAGTTTCACTGGGAAGGATTACTTAAACTTTTAGGGTACGTTTCCAATACCAGACAGCACAAACTTCAAACTGGTATGCAAGGAACTGAAGCTCAATATATATTCAGATTCGGATTTTGCTTCAAGCAGGGATGATATGGTGTCTATTGGTGGACAAATAGCTTTGTTGGGAGAATCACCTGTATCTTGGCGTACATTTAAAGAAAGGGGAGTGAGTTTATCTACTATGGAGGCTGAATTTATCTCCATGACTGAATCAGCAAAAGAATTAGTTTGGTTTAAAAACATTTTGGATGAATGCATTCAGTTTAAAATTGCAAGTAACTATGTTTCGAGGCCAATATTGTTTGCTGATAACATGGCTGCTATATGTTTTACAAAATCACCCATTGAAAACTCAAGGACAAAACATATAGATGTGAAACTATTTTTCATTCGTGATCTATTGAACAGGGAAATTTTTGAATTAAAATATGTTCCCAAGTAAAGATAATCTGGCTGATCCCATGACAAAACCGCTGACTAAGCATAATCTGATAAGATTTTGTGGAACAATTTTCTTATGAAATTTGTTTTTGTGTGTATTTAAATTAAGAGTTTTGTTAATTTGAAAATATGTTATAAGTCATATATGATGGATATTAGGTAAATGTAAAATTGTATAGTGTAGAATGTTGTATGAGTGACCAGGGCCCTGGGTAAATGTATTGAGTGTGTGATCATATATATGTCTTTGTATTGTTCTGTAACATGTTGGACTTTCTTGCTACGGTAAAATTTTTGAATAATGGGATAAGATTTTCCCAAAGAAAAATTTTCTTAAAAATTTCTGAATGAAATTGTGATATTTATTTATTCTTGTTTTGAATTTTGTAAAGATACTGGCATTCGGTTTTTATTTCAGGTCGGAGATGATGATGTGGGGGGCATTTGTTGGAAAATATAGCTTATTTTTAAACCTTTTACTGCATCATCTCTCCTCCTTGAAATGTTTATTTAGTTTAGTCCTTATTTTAATGTAATATAGTAGTTACTTCTACTTCTTTTTCTTGCTGCCACTGTTTGCATTGAGGATGGACTGTTTCAACCTAATTGAGATGCAAAAATGAAACATCATTTACGTCATCTGAAAAGCCGATTCGTGCCGATAGCTGATTGGTTGCCGTGAGATGACGTCATTCCTATTTCTGCTATAAGTATCTCGCGTCGCTCTGGCTCAACCCTGCTAGTTCCTGCTTTCCCGGCACTTGAGTGAGCGGTTTCCAGCCCCTTCAGAAGGATGCATGCAGTCCGGTGATTAAAAAGCCTTGGTTCCGGTTTGCGGGATGATTGTTCCAGATTAAAGTTCTTTGGTTCCAGAGGCTACCATGTGAGTGACTGCTGTGGGTGGCATCCATGTTCTTCAATAAAGGCGGCAATTAAAAATACGTGAGCGGCGACTCCTTGTGCAAACGGGGTTAGGCCTGTTTTAAGTGCTTTCAAGAACTTCATTTAAATTTTCAGGTGTTTTTCTTGACCATTGATTATGGACTTATTGAATGGGTAGCCAGCTTTATTTTTAGGCCGCATAATTACTGTTTAGGACATTTTTGTTTGTATAGAATGCCAGTGTTTTGGAGACCAGGTAAAAATATTTGATGAATGATGGTCATATTATATTTTTCCTAAGACTCTAATATTATTGACATTTATTTTCTGTGTTTTATTCTTTATTATATTGTTAATAAATTGGTTAAGTTCAAAATCTTTTATTGTCTTCAATATCTGCACAACATATCTCAGGGAGCTTTTATTGCTACTACTGCTAAATGTTTAATTTCTTTAAACTTTGCTTTAGCATCACGCATGTGTCAACGCGGCGCATGCGCAGAAAGATTTTAGCTTTGAGGTCCGGATTATGGGTGTCCGAATTAACGACTTTTGACTGTATTTGTTAAAAGTTTAAAAAGTTCATTTACTAATGAGGAAGACATGAAAAATGATCAATATATAAATATGACAAGAAAATGATCAATATATAAAAACGACCAGAAAGTGATTCAAGTAAATATTTAACAACTCTTCCTCATATAATCCTCATATAATCTTTTTATGTATAAATAATACAATTGCAGATATAATCTGACTTAGATTCACATGATTTGTTAAATATTTTTGATGCTTCAATGTTGTAACACTCAAAACAGAAATATTTCACACACACGAGGTACAATTCTTGACTGGCCTGCAAATCCAAACACTTAATGCTCTAGCAAAAACTTTCCATATCATTTATCAATAACAGGCACATATTTAAAGAGGAGTCAAAAAGCCTGCAAGTCAAGAACATGTTTATATAATCAAAATCCAAGTGCATGTGATATCTTTGTTTCATTTCGAGAAGGTCAGATCCACACTATCTCAAATCCTATGGACATCTTGTTAAAAAATATTAGTTTCTAAAATGTTTCAAAACCCTGACATGAACGCGTGCTAGGCAGGGGTGAACAAGAAAATACCTTCTGTCAAATGGGCAGAAATGAGTTCATTTCATGCCAGCATGTCTGTGACATAAAAAGGTTAACTGCTTTCCTTACAAATTTTTTTGAAAAAAATTGCAAAAAATCATCACATTTTTTTTATTTTATTATTAAATATAACAAAACGAAACAAATCAAAATATGTAAGTTTTAAGTTGAATTTTTAATTTTTTGAAGATGTAAAAGCATTAATTTTTAATATTAGTTTACTATCCCGAGTTATCTTGGGCAAACGAAAGAAAGTTTAATATTAATCTTTGTATGATAGTTTTTGAAACAAGGGACAACACAGAGTGATACCTGACGTTCTACACTGGTATCTGGTCTCTTTTCTTACTGGCTTACCGCTGGAATCTCTTTCATGGGAGCACAGAGTACACTGTCTCGTTGGATTTGACTTTTTTTTTTTTTTTTTTTGATTTTTTTCCCAACCTTTTCATAATCACTATCTGAAAATTCATCGTTTTTGCTATCTTCCATAATCGCCATTATTTAATTTTTTTTCCATTGCATGCATCCTTCTTTATACATTACTATCCACAAGCCAACGCATACTATACAATAGGGAAACACACGACCAGTCCCTCCAAAACAACCGCGCAACCAACAAAATTTGGCAAACTGTCAATCAAAGCTAAATATTTCCTTTCATTTCCTCGAGACCGAGTAAAACCGTGATAAAAGAAATCGTACTTACAAAGCATCGCCTGAGTTTTCTCGGGATAATAATTAACTGCAATATATACGAACCCGAGATAACTCGGGATAATCAGGCAAGTGTTTAAACAAGTTATAAATATTACTGTTTCAAACTACACTGTCGTATTATTTTCCCTTCACATTTTAAGAAATTTATCTCTTTTGGAATTCTGCTTTTCGTTCACAGAAAACCTTCTAGGATTCACTACATCCCAACAAAAAAGCTGCCTTTTTTTCTGCAATAAAAATACAACACTTGCTGACATCATATTTCATATTTAATACCAACAGTCCATTTCTGACATCTTTTGCTACGGCTGTTAAGTTTTCATTCATCATAAATGAATGGTAGTTCATACTCATATTAACAATTTATCTATTTGGAAATGGACTGCACATCTATAACTTTGAATGGATATTTTGTAACATGCACAATTACAAGATTTGAACATGAGAATCTGATGACACTTCAAGACATATAATTTTTTTTATTTAAGTAAATTTTAGGGCAACTTGCCTCTAATAATCTGTATACTTAAAAAACTGTTTACCATGATTTCTGATTAAGAATTTTTACAAAACGAAATGGCATTTTTTGTTATTTCTTTATGTAGCACTATTTTCGTTCTTTGGCATTCTAAAATTTCTCATAATTAAACAAAATTCTTAACTACCCAGTACAAAAGAGATTAGATATTCACCATTTCACAGCTGAGCAAATTTCAGTCACTGTCAAGATGACCTGACGTTGGAGCAACTTCAATTGTTTTAGAATGATGATAGCGCTTCCTAGAAGTATAATCTGTATTGTCCTCTGTTAATTGAGCAGCTTTTACTTCAACTTCAGGAAGGACAGGGGCAACAATAATTTGATCATAATCAACTATTTTGCATCTGAAAAAAGCATAACTTTATAAAAACAAATTATAAAGATAATGTAAACATTTGTGAAACATGATGAAAACAAAAACCACATTTTTTAGTGAAAATAATAATAATAATAATAATAATAATAATAATAATAATAATTAAAAAAAAAAAAAAAAAAAAAAAAAAAAAAAAAAAGAAAAAAGAAAAAGAAAATGCATATATGAAGTAGCAAAAACAGAAATAATTTGAATGCAAAGATGTACGATATAAACATGCCTCCCCCCTTTTTTCCCCCTCCCATAGAAAATATTAAAAAAAAATCAAACCGACTTTTAAGAGTTAATATTTTGAAAATGCTTATCGATTTAAAACCTTTTAAGAAAATAATACATGCAAATTTTTAATTTTTTTTCTATGGAAAAATATTGCTGCATACAGCCACTTATCATATAATACAAAAACTGCTCACTTAGACATTAAGATATAGAGAAAAGAACATGTTGTACAAAATCTACCATGCAGTTAGTTAAAAATAACACATTTGTTTTGCTAAATAACTATAGTCCAATGATTTAGAGCTTAAAAGATACAAATGCTTCTTCTTAATTAATCTTTTGGAGTTACTCAGATATATTCAAAATGGGAATTTTAACCCAGTTAGCCAATGATTTGGCCCCAGAACATAACATTTCTAGAAAGGTCATGAATAAACGGTATTTTTTTTTTTAAATTATGATTACAAAATGACCCTCTCTGTTTGTACCTTGAATTCTTTTCTTTCAACATATATACTAAAATTATCTGGAAAACATTTTAAGATGCATGTCTGTGTTCTTAAAGATATCACGACTAATGTTTTTGAACATACAGGGTATTTTTTTAAAATTGACACTACTCAATTGTAGCTCAACTGTCAGCTGGACTGCCACCATATTTGGTAGGTGGACTACTGATGACATGAAAAAAAATAGATTCTGTGAAAAAATATTTTGAAAAGTTGCCAATAGCAGGAAATTTGGTGCTGCACTAGTCTATATAGCTGAAAATTTGCATGAAACACGGGTAAAATTTGAAAAAGCAAATGCACAGTTATATAAATAAGAGCACCAGCAATTTAATCTATAAATATAAGGAAAAAAATTTCTAAATGTTAGCTAAATTCAATATGCATCTCACATTACCTCATCATGCCAGGAACAGTCTAACAATTAGACTTAAATCTTTCAATAGTATGAAAACTCTTGTGGAAAATTTTCCTCTTCACCCCAAACAAGATAAGCCACATGCAGGAATTAACACAAAATGATTATGTTCTGACATTTCTGGCCATTATGCTTGGCCAAAAGTAGAATTCTACGTGGACATGCTGCCATTTCCCCCTAAATGGGACTGTTAACACTCACAATTTTTTACTTTAGGCATCTAAACAAACCCACATAGTTTAAAAATCCCACTGTGTTCCCCAAATCACTAATTGGTGTGGTTTCACAGCAGATTTCATCTCTGTAACTCTTTGGGGCAGTTTATTAGCTGCATTAAAACAGTGCTGTCCTTATATTTTTTTGTTATTCGCTTGCTTAATTAACAACTCTGTACATTACAACAATGCTATATTTTCCACTATCAATGACTTCCAGAGCTAATTTTTTTTTACATAATCTTTTTTCCCCATACCCTCATCAGTCCTCCAAATTTGATGGCATTTAAGCTGACAGATTCAGTTACAGATAGTTCTGAATAATATCAGTTAATATATATATACCGGGTGGGCAGAAGTAAAATGACAGTGCTCACAGTGTTCTGCAGCAGGGATAAATAGAAGGGCTAGCTCTTTTCTTTGTTTGACTCCTCGCCGACGCGAGCCTAATGGGGGGACGTAAGAGGCAATAATCTGACGTCTCTGTGATGCCACCAGTCCTGATTTCCCGCGTTTCCCCGCGTTTAAAACAGTAGTTTCATTGAGTTGCGAGACGATTTTCTAGAGGTTACATATCATAATTAATTTTAATAATATATATATCTGTTTTCTAATAAAGTATATATTTAAAATAATTTATATATATGTAATTTTAGTCAGTTTTTATTTTAAATTCTATATTCTAAAGTATCGTTTACGTAATATGGCTTTTTGCGCTGCAGTAACATGCTGTAGCACTTACAGAACTATGAAAGGATGAGATATTTTATTTCATGGGACCAAAGGATCCAAATGAGAGTTTGCTTTTGACGAAAGAATGGATACACAAATGTCAAAGAGAAGATTCTATTAATGTGAAGAGCGGAAAAATCTGCAGCGAACATTTTCTATGCAGTGTTTATGAAGATATGAAAAATTGCTTGTTTGGATAGCCACAAAAAGAAACTGTTGAAATGGAATGCTTGCCGAAAATAAATTATGATGACAATAATAAATCGAACTTGATGATGACAATAAATCAAATTTTAATGATTTTGAAATAAAACTCACAAATGAAAATGTAGATCATCCTGAATGTTTAAGGATAAACAAGGATGCATTGATAATTTGAAGAACAAAATAATATCCTTAGAAAATTGTATTAAATTGTATTAAAGTACTGAAAAATAGAGAAAAGAAAAATATTAGAATGTTTGTTCAGCGACAAAGAAGGTGGACGGCATCTAGACAGAAATTGGTATCAGAAATTAAAATATCAAATAGCGAAATTTGGGGGGGGGCACAAATCGGAGAATTTGGAAAAATGTCTAAAGCCAATTTTTATAAAGACGCAGATTAATGCATTACTGAAAAAGAAGAAAAAAATCAGGTAGACTAATAAAAATATTTCACGTTGCATCGTCATAAGAGCTCTGTCATCTCAAAGATATGATTTTTGGAAAGAAAAAAATTAAGAAAAAATTTGGAATATCTTTACCTAGTATTATCAAATTAAAGAAATGGTGTTTATTTTATTTTTTAGTGTTTTTTAAATTTTAGTGTGGTCCAAGAATTCAAAGTAATGTTCTTACTCTAAAGAAGGAAAGAGGCGAATATTTGTATTCTGTAGAAAAAATATGCGTTCTCAGTTTCGACAAAATGCACATAGATTGAAAACTCTGCTATGACTCTAAACTGGACTAAGTTGGTTCTTTTCAAAATGTGCAGTTTGTTTTAATCAGATGTCTCATTTCGCGCTCTGCCTCAAATTACTGAAAAAAAACCGCGTTTTAGATAGAGGATTTGTTTTAGAAGATGTAACTGTTTTAAATTTTGATATTATTAAAGAGGTTTTAAATAGAGATTGAGAAGAAATCAAATTGTGTCACAAACTAAAACCAAATTATTTAATGGTCAAGGGAAGCGAGAGACAAAAAGTCGCTCCAGAGAAAGCATTATTTTCAAAAAGTACCGCAAAAGGTATACTATACCCCACAGAAAATCAAAAAGCATCTGACTTCTATGAGTTAATCGATAATATTTCGGTATTATGAATAGTACTAAAATAATACCAACAATAATAACAAGTATTTAACAAACTAATTTTGTTAAGTACTTGTTATTCTTATTGTATCCTTTGTAACTAATTATTGATTAGATTTTGTGCTAGATTAGCATTCTAGATAAAATATAATAGTGTAAAACATCAAAGTAATTGGCATAAAAAGATCTGCTTCCTTTACTCACACTTTTGAAAAATTAAATAACTGTTTTAGGTACTCTGAATAAAGCTATTTCGTCAAAATTAAGGTAACAATCTTATATACATTTATTTAATTGTAATATAGATATAAGTATAAATTACAAAATTATTTAAAAAAATTATCTATTATATTGAATCGGAAGAGAATTATAACAATGTAAAATTTACAATTAGGCAAAAAATCAAACGTAGGTTAGCAGAAATGTTGCCATATATGTCATACATGTTTAAACCTATGTCAATGTAAAGTCGTTTTTTGAGTAAATTTAAATAGCTACTATTATAGTTATCTTAGAAGCAGTATAAAAATTCTCTCAGTTAGCATGCAAATAAAGAAATGATTAGAAATAAACGTGCATGAAATAAAAAAACCCGCAAATAAAAATTAAAAAAAAAAAAAAAAAAAAAAAAAAAAAAAAAAAAAAAAACGGAACTTTATGTTAAAAGAGTAGCACATTTTATCTATTATTTTAAAATTGAGTAAGCATTATTAAATTCTTAATGGTTCAGTCTAAAATGCATAAAGCAGTAACATTGCCTCTTCCAAATTATAGCTATCTTTCACACACAGTTCATTTTAAATGCTGGTTCAAAAACGCTAATTTCCAAGCTGTGAATTATATTGGCGCGCTCAGTGTCATCATGGCTACGTCATCACTTCTCACTTTCTGCTTCAGGGGGAAAAGCTCTATGAGCTAGCCCTTCTCTTTTAAGTCCTGGTTCTGCAGCGCGATCTATTTGCGAGAATGACACCACATTTTGTAGGAAGATTAAACAAGACGGGGGACGAAGGATTCCGCGAAAAAACAAACTAGTTCCAAAAGTCACCGCTAGGGGAATATTTGGTGCTGTGTAATAGAAAATAGAGTGTTAACAAATGCAAATTAATATGGAATAAAATTAATTGAAAGTTTATGCGCAATGTCTTTAGTCGCGCATGCGCTACTGGTCAAATTCTTTTACCTCAACCAGTGCAACGTGTCAGCCGCTCTTCGCACTTTTAGAACACACAAAAAAATGCGTAAAGGTAACGGTCCTGTGTCAGTTAATGGGCTAAAAACAATGGTTGCGGCGTTTGCGAAAACAGGTTCTCTGAAGGTTTAGTCAGTCAGAGGACAAAAACCTGTACCACAGGATACAATCGAAGAAGTTACTACAGCGATTGTCAACAGAGGACCAGACAATATTGCTGCCACCTCTAGCGCTCATGAGGTAGCTCGGAATATGGATATGCCTTACTGTACGGTATGGAAAATCTTACGAAAGATTATCAACTTCTATCCGTACAAGATAAGCCGCGTACAGAAGTTACTGTACCCTGACCATGATAAGCGATTGACTTTTGCTCTCACCTTTCTTGCTAGA